TTTGTATTTTTAGTAGAGACGGGGTTTCACCGTGTTAGTCAGGATGGTCTCGATCTCCTGACCTCGTGATCCGCCCGTCTCGGCCTCCCAAAGTGCTGGGATTACAGGCGTGAGCCACCGCGCCGGGCGAGTCTGCTATTTCAATGGTAACTTTTCCTCTCTCATTTAGACAGGGATCCTTGAAGAAATCTTTCAGAGACTTGTGTTAGCTTCCCAAGCCGGGTATATGAGGAACCACATAATAAAAAGAATAGCTAGCATTTCTATTAAGATCATTATGTGTCAGAAAAATTTCCATGTTGGAGAAAATTCCATGTGCTGATGCATAGAATGTATATTCGGTGGTTGTTCAATAAAATATTCTGTATATATCTGTTAAGTTCACGTGTTCTAAGATATGGTTTAAATCCATTGTTTCTTTGTTGACTTTCCGTGTTGATGACCTGTCTAGTGCTATCAGTGGAGTACTGAAGTCCTCACTATTATTGTGTTGCTGTCTATCTCATTTCTTAGGTCTATTAGTAATTATTTTATGAATTTGGGAGCTCTAGTGTTAGGTGCATATATGTTTAGGATTGCGATATATTCCTGTTGGACAAGGCCTCTTATTATATAATGTTCCTCTTTGTATCTTTTAACTGCTGTTGCTTTAAAGTTTGTTTTGTCTGATATAAGAATAGCTATTCTGGCTCACTTTTGGTGTCAGTTTGCATGAAATGCCTTTTTCCATCCCTTTACTTTATGTGAATCCTTATGTGTTAGGTGATTCTCCTGAAGGCAGCGGATAGTTGATTGGTGAGTTCTTATCCATTCTGCAGTTCTGTATCTTTTAAGTGGAGCATTTAGCCCATTTACATTCAATATTAGTATTGAGATGTGAGGTGCCATTTCATTCATTGTGCTATTTGTTGCCTGTGTACCTTAATTTTTTTGTTTGATGTTTTTGCTTTTTAAATTGTATTTTCCTTTTATAGGTGCTATGTTATTTATGGTTTAAAGAGGTTCTGTTTTGATATGTTTCCAGGATTTGTTTCAAGATTTAGAGCTCCTTTTAGTAGCTCTTATAGTAGTGGTTTGGTAGTGGCAAATTCTCTCAGCATTTGTTTGTCTGAAAAAGACTGTATCTTTCCTTCA